CAAGATGTTACGCAGGTCCCAAGAAATTTTTATATGTTTCTGTCTACAGTGCTGGACGTAACAGATTTGACACCCTAGGCAAGCCCCCCACCCCACACTTTAAAAATTAAAATTATTATTAATTTTAATAGGTGGCTAACAGAAAAACTCACCACTGTCTGTCTAATAAAACACAAATGCAAAAAAACAAATGCTTTTAGTGGTTAATAATAAGCAGGAAGTGCACATGCCAGGTGATTGATAGTAACTGTTGAAGTGAGACTGTGGATAGTGTGTGTGCGTGTGTGTGTGTGTGTGTGTGGGAGAAAGAAAGAGAAAGAAAAAGTGCACCAGAGTAAAGGTCACAGTGAGAATACAGGTGTGGAAGACACTAAATCTATGATGTGACACAACACAAAATCCCAAGAAATTTAAATATTATTCTGTCTACAGTGCCGGACCTAGCAGATCTGGCGTCTAGGCAAGCTCTCCCTGCCCCCGCTCCAGTTTTAATGGTGATGATGACCGTGATCATTATTATTATTATTATTATTGTTAATCAGGGATCTTCAAAGTTTTCAGGCAGGAACAGAGTGGGACCCTCTACTACATACACTTTATAAAACTGAGTTGCACGTGGGTTAATTCTCTGAATATTATTGGGTCTTGTTTGCGTTTGCCTGTAGCTGCTAAGTCAGCAGCAGCTGTAGCATGGCTAGGTGCATTAGCACTTTCGCCAGGTGGACGGTGTGTCAAAGTCTCTCGCTTGAAAAGTCAGAAAACAATCCATTGTGGCTCACTATGTCCGTACATTTAAAGTAATAGCACAGCTAATTGGCCAATATGTTTCAATGGGATGTAAATGTTAGCTAGCTAGCTGCACAGCGATTTAGCGTTAACTAGCTCACATGATTGCAAGTTTCAAACATGTTTTTTTTAATGAATAGGCTAATTTATCTTTGCTAATTTTATGTTGGATTAATAATGTGTATTTTCTAACATATTTAAATTTAAAAACAAAAGATGAAAAAAAAAATGTAATGAATCAAACTCAAATCAAATAATTTGGAGGCCCTCCTGCTATAACCCTGAAGACCCCATACGGGTTGTGGACCCCATGTTGAAAAATCAGGATTATTATTACCATCAATAATGATAATTTAATAGATGGCTGCCAACATTGCAAAATAAAAATCTGCCACTGTCTGTCCAATAAAAGAAAATATTTAGGTTTAACAACACAAAATGCTTTAAGTGGTAAATAATAACCAAGGTAAGTATAATTATTTTGTAGTTTTTCTATTTAATTTATGTAGAAAATTTAGTGGTAAATAATAACAAGGAAGTGCACACTGTTTCTCTGTATGTACACATGTGTGTCTGCGTGTAGCATGACAGGCAAGAACACCTGTCCTGTCCTAGATTGTGACATCTCTGTATTTGATCAACACACAGGAAAAAGACAATTCACACTATTTTTTGCGGCGGTGTGAGTGTGTACTGTATGTGTGCAAATGAACACGTGTTAATCCCATTTCCACGACAGTGACATCTCTGAGTGACAAGTGAAATAACACGACCAGGAAGCTGAGAGCTCTGCTCCAAGCTTGAAACACACACACACTCAAACTTGTCCACACACACGCACATAGTGAGCTGTCAGTCTCCTGGCCGATCGATTAGTGCTGACAGATAGCAGATATCCCCGGAGTCTTAATTAGAGGTCCCATTAGAACACACACACAAATACATATGCACACACACACACACACACACACACACACACACACACACACAGTCAAATCCTAATCCATTCAGAAATGCAAAACGACCCCTTTAAGTCTGATGTTATCAAGATGTGTACGTGTGAACGAGAAACCTGTGTGTTTACTAAAACACACAGCATGTTGAAATCTGAATTTGACGTGTCACAGCAGGAGAAGCACAGGTGTAAATAATAAAAATGAATTATGGCTGTGTTCCATTTAACTGCTTCAGCGTCAGGGTCCTGGTATTGTGCATGCTGGCTCACTGTCACACCGTCATGGCTTACGTTATTAGTAACACCTGTGCTTTTCCTACTATGACAAGTCAAGATGTCTGCTGTGAAAAAAAGGCCCGTATCCGCTGAGCTGTCAGGATGTGTTGATCACACCTCCTTTAAAAACAGTAAGATGCAGGAGGTAAGAAGTGAACGGAGCTCCCTGCCGGCTTACTCTCCTGCTGACAAACTTCCTGGATTAGATTGAAACGAATGGCACCTGAGTCCTCCTGAGCCTCACACACATACACACACACACACACACACACACACACACACACACACACACACACACACACACGGAGGCAGACACATAAACCTAAACATTTTTGATGATTTGCTATTTAGACTTTCACTGTCAGCTTTGTTCTTCCCCCTCAGTCTGCAACTCTGGGAGTCCCCCTGGAAGTGGACAGACAGCAAAAATAAATGCACACATGCACACACGCACACACACACACACACACACACACACACACACACACACACACACACACACACACACAATATGTGTACAGCATCAGGGGAAATCCCCTCTCGCTGGGGACTGTGTGTTTTACTGTGGCCCCTTGCATGGAGCATCCGCTGAGGGAAGAGTGTGTGGGGAGTTGGCCTAAATGTCAAAGGTAAAAGGTGTTGAAGAAGAGGAGTGGAAACATGCAATAGACCCACTCACGCAGGCTGATCTCAGAGTAGAGGAGGGGGAACCCCAAGTCTCTGTCTCTGTCTTTCTCCCAAACACAACACAGACAAAAACATTCATGATTCTTTCCACAGGATCGATGCTGTTTACACATACAGCCAACTGTGACAAGCCAAACAGAAACGACAACAAATAAAACCATTTGCTAATATGCAACATTAAATCTAATCACTCATCTCTTCTCCATAATCACAGTTACTGTATTACTGTATTATTTTGTGTTGCTGGGACCAGGGCTGTGATCTGAGGACGAATTTTCAATATATTGCCACTGCTTGAAATATCACCATGTTCTCGTTATTTTTGGTAGTCTAGCCTTTATGAGTAACTGTGACACATTTTGAAAGGTCACACGTATATACCACTTCGTCATCACACGCACACACACACACAGTGACCCCAGAGTCATTTAAATGACAACCTTTAACCACACATTATGACACCACTGCAGGGCTGTAGCCAGGATTTTGGAAATTTCGAGGTTGTGAAGTCCAAGGGCCCCCAGCAAAACCCCACCCACGAAATGTTTGACTTGCCACAAAAGAAATTATTTAACTTGCCCAAGTTCTGTTAATCATTTAACAATTACACTGTAAAACGTCAATTAATAGCCCGGGCTATTATTTACTTCAATCCCCAATATCAACAGGCCTATATTTGGGACAGGACTCGAATTCCTGTCACAAAACACTGGTTTTCAGAAAAGATGGGAAACACAGTCACCTTATTATGAATCATTTATTTGATCTAGCTCAGACAGACAGTGCATCAGAGACAGAGAAAGTTGCAGCACTCCAGGATTACGGCAGCTGGCATACCGACACACCGACACAACACCACCGATTTGATTTTTATGAAAAAACATTTTGATTCTTTCAATCTGAGGACCCTTTCGGACTAAAGGAATTGGAATAATGTCAAGAGTAATCGAGGAATGAACACATAATTTGAGGTAGCCAACAACCCGCTTTGATACATTTGAAGAACTTCTATTAAAAAAACGAACTGCTTGGCAACCAGACTAGGCGTCTAATTGAGACAGGTGTTTATTTGTCAAAATTCGTAGCCACACGGGGCTAGTAAAAGGGACTGGGTGTTTAATTGAAGTTTTATAGCGCTTCCTGTAAATTTCATTTCCCTTTGTCATGATCAGAATGTTGTAATTATGATGGAATACACCAAAACCTTTTTATTATAATTTATCCATTTAGCCCATTTTTATTTTATATTGAGTTTAATTAAAACCGGTCAACATTTTTTCATTGACATTTAAAAAAAGTCTATGGTCACCGGTGAAAAGGTTCAGAAATGGTTCAAAAGTGAATGTTATTTCACCAAATATTTGTAGAAGTTGCTTTAACGTTCACATTTAGACCATATTTCACTGGGATTTGCAATAGTGAGATTTTTCATCCTCTACAGTGTGCAAATAATATCATTATTTTGGAGCCTAAGTAAGAAATTGCATACAAATTTCTCAGTTGAAAGTTGCAACTCTCAGTTAGGCCTATATATGGTCAAAATGTTACCGTTCAATCAGTGTCTTCAAAAAAAATTTCTCTTTTTAACCTGTTCTGAATGTCTTCTCACTATCATTGTTTTTTAAACACCTTTTAAACCTCAAAATGCTCACTGCAATATAAAACTGTAGAAGTGGTTCTGGTTTTGGGATGACAACATACCACATATGTAGTCACACTAACACATTTACAGCTCCCACTTAAAATACAAAGAAGACCATGTGACACATACTACAAAAAAATTGTATTTATCAAACAACAATTTGAATATAACATGAAAAATGCTTTTGAAATACAATTACAATGAAATAGGAAAATACATAATTGATATAAGGTCCCTCTGGTTAAAGGAAGAAGTTTGATATGGTGGAAACCTGTAACTAAAATAAATAAAATACTGTATGTATGCAATAGAAAAATATGTCATAAAAAACCTAACCCATAGTATTTGGATCAAATATTTGGAGTAAAATTAAATTATGATACTATAGTAGGAGCTGGTGGTCAGTTGCCTCCTGTAACTTAAACCCTCCATTTGAACGAGGTCTTCTTCATTTTTTCTTTTTGCACGTTTTTTCGCCCTGGTATAAAACAACACCATTAAATGTAGTCAACACAAGAAAAAACACTTTAGTATTATTCAAGATTCAAAAAAAACTGACGTGTCGTTTAACAGTACGGTGACGGGTCACAGTGATGAGGAACACAATGTGCTGCGGGTGCTGGTTGAGGTCGGAAACTATTCTTGGACGCACTGGGAAGAGAGTTGTTTACAAACAGCCAAGTGTCAGGAATGAAAAAGCGAAAGTGCTGCTGAAAATTAGCAAATGAAGCGAAACGGTACTTTCCGACACACTATGGAGGCTCATGCCAGCCTTTAACGAATATAAATCATATCCTGGATTGATGTTTTCAGTGGTAAGTGTCTCTGTATGTCCTGTTAAGTTTCATTTATCTGTCAGGTGACTGGTAAACTGGTGTTACAAGATGGTCTGGCTAAATCAGTGAGTTAGCTAAACTCTATTAAGAGTTATCTAACTGCTCAAGATGCTGCTAGCTTCAGAACTAAGCTAACAGCTACATGCTATGCTATTAAAACGTTCATTTAGCAGCTTAGCTAACTAGCCAACTGTTAACAAAGCGTATGTGTGAATTATACGTCACCAGCTCTCTCCCACTCAGATTAAGTTTCCTGACTTACATATTAAAACTTATATCTATACTGGGGTGTACAGAATACTTTAAATGACTTGATATTAGCTTCAGCATTTAATAGCCATTAAGATAAATAACCCTCAGTGACTAAACAGTAGAAGAATCATAAAGTATAATGGACATTTACATGGCACAGTGTCATGTAGGGGTGCAACAAAAAGATTTTCATTATCAATTAAATTGTCAATTATTTTTCAGTTAACTGATTGTTAGTCACAGTTTCTCAGAGCCCAAGGTGATGTATTTAAGTTGCTTGTTCTGTCCAGCAATTAACCCCAACAATCCCAAACCCCATATTTAAAATGATATGACAGAGAAAAGCAGCACTTTTGAGAAGCTGGAAACTGAATGAGAGGATGCTTGATGAAAGACGTAAAAGTAAGGCTTTATGATTAATTAAAATATTATGAAAATAAATGACTTTATTTTGAACCAAAAATAATAAAAACAGTGTTCGAAAAGGAGTAGGTAGAAGAGAAACTTACATGTCACTACCCCTTTCTTACATTTCTTCTTTTAAATTGTATTATTTCAACAAATTCCCAAATTTATTTACAACTAATATACAACTACCCCCAGTCTATTTACCACCCAATTAAATAAATAATAGGCCCAGTTTATTTACAGTCTAGGTACCACCCAGTGTTACAAAATAAGTATGCACTACCCTAACACAGCCTTTCCTCATCTATGTACCTGCCAAAAATATATTTTTTGTATGCTTGTGCTTTGTTTATTGACATAGCAATATAGCCAAGTGCGATATCCAGATTTCAGGAGCTGCTTTTTTTTTTTTTTTTTTTTTTTTATTAAAGTAAAATGTTGTCATAACATATGATCACAAATGAAGCATTGCAGTGCTACAGAGATGCCCTGGCCTACAAATCATATTCCAGACATACGAGAGCATGTTTGTTTGATATAGACCCCAGCAAAATCGCACTATTATAATTTTCAGTGAAGATAAAATGCAAAAATTGCTATTTCAACTAACATGACAACTCATATCACAGTTGCAGTATCTGTCGAAATAATTGCAGTAGGATTTATTTTTGGAAATTGTGCAGCCGAACTTAAAAGTTCAACAGATTCCCCAAATTGTTGACTACTTTGCTGCCTTCTAATCGATTGATCGAGTTGTAGTTCCTGCCTAGCTGTTATACCGTCAGTGTATGATGTAAGTAGTAATACTTCAGTTACTCTTTCCCTCCAAGGATGCTGGCAAGAAAAAAAATGTATTAGTCTTATGGAGGTGCCAGTTTTAGATGTGTGGGCAGACCCGCATGTGTCACTGAGTTTATTCATTTGATTTATGTATTTATTAAAATCATACTCTGCTGGTATTTACAGTGTGTGTGGGGGCAGTGAGATAAAGCTGAGCAGGTGCAGTGTCTAAGTTACAAAGAGGTGTTGGCTGTGGGCAGTCAGCAGGACACATGGCAGAGGAAGGCAACAAGCTGACACTGAGGCGCCTGGAGGCACCGATCCACAAGTTCATTAAAGTGGCTCTACCCACGGACCTGGAGAGGCTGCAGAAACACCACAATAACATACTGAAGGTGACGGCTGAAATCTGGCTGGACACATGATGGCACTCTCACATCCACACTCTTACTTCCGGTCCACAGATAGATAACACATAGTTTTCCCTTCATTTTCGCAGTACCAACAAAGCCAGCAATGGGAGCGGCTTCATCTGGAGCATATCAATGCCAGCAGAACTGTTCAGGTATACGATAACACTCTATGAACTTAAAAACAGCATAAGTGTTTGTGTGTGTTTGTTAATTTGTGAAACGGAGGATGTGAGCCCCAATATGATCAACCAGTAAGCAGTGGAACAAATTCACAACACATCTGCAACAAACAGCGTCCTTGTCAACACTATAATCAAGTCAGAGCCTGGCAGATGTGTGAGTGAGAGCATTGCTTGGATGATGATGTGAATCACTGCCTCTTGAAATTCCTGAACAAGCATGACCCTGCAACTGCATAGTATATTTTTTGTCTCAAACTGTCTGGACACTGAGCTCAGTTCTGGAGAAACTTGATGTGTCCTGATTTGAGGTAACTAAGTGTTTCCAGTTTGAAATCTAACCTAAACCCAGTGGCAGGACAGTGAAGGGCGTCTTCATCCAGTTAAAGGGTACTGTGGTATTTTTCAACCTGGACCCTATATTCCTATGTTTTTGTGTCCAAAATGTTTGAAACTGGTCCAGTATTGAGACAAAACAGTGCAGCCAGCAACTACAAAACAGGCTTAAAGTGTTTGTTTTTGCCACTGACAGGCTCAGATTATTATTACAAGTGTCTGACAACATTATAGAAAGGACCCCCGCAGAGGAAGACCTCTTTGTTAAAGAGTAAGGTCTTTTTTGTTTGTTCAGAAAGAGCCCTGAAATCGCTTTTGTCAAATCCACCAGACTCCATTTAAATAAATAGTAATTTTATCTTAGTAAAACACATTTCATTCAAAGTCGACAGAAACAAAAAAAAAAAAAACACAAAACCATCTTGGTTTGTCTTTCCACTAATCCAGGTATCACCAACTCTGGTTTCGTTGAAATGAGATCGTAATTCATCCAGTTACATGTGAAAATATGATGGCTCTATACATGCTTAAATTGCTGTTTGTTCTGATGGAGTCTGGTAGATTTGGTGATGCCAATTTTGGGGCTGTTTATTTTTTGAACAAAAAAGGTCTTACTCTTTCCATAATGTTGTCAGACATTTATAATAATAATCTGAGACTGTTGGTGGCAAAAACTTTTAGTGGATGTAAATTGATGGTGCTCAATTGGCTGCAGTGGTCTCTCTCAATACTGGACTTATTTCAAAAATGATTTCTCGCTTAGACACAAAAACATAGGAAAAAAAGTGTCCAAATTGGAATATACTGAGGTTACCCCTTAAATATATGAGCGAAGGAGAGAGCTGTCCACTGTTGTACTGTGTTCTTGCTCTGACGTACAAAGCAGCTGAACCCTGCCACGCCACAATGAGCACGGTAAATGTTGTGTTAGATCAACAGAAAAAATAGCAGCTTGACACTCTCAACACAAGGTCCAAAATACCTGCTGCACCGCCATATATGACCCCTTGTTATTACACAGACAAAATTCCTTTTTAAGGTGACATCATAACAACTAAACCATCACTGTGACAACTGAGCCACTCCATCTGATGACGGCAAAGAGATGTGGTTGAAAGCAAATAGAATAACTAAGGCAAATCTGTTCACATAGGACAAGCTTGCTTGAAAAACACTGGTCTGTTATCAAATCTAGATCAGTTATTGATGACTACATAAACTTTCTGTATAGAAATTCACTCTTAGAAATCAGGGCAAGAAAAGAGCTGCTACCAGACCTCAAACGGACCATCTCTTGTGTGTTAGTACTTGCAGTCTTGTTCACATGGTGGGTGTGAAATGTCTCAGAGGATGTTGTTGCCTGGAAGCCACCATGTCTCTCAAGGTGAAATAACTCCAAACAGGCACAAACCCATCCTCTCACCATTACCCTGCAAACTCCAGGGACACACACAGAGTGCTTTCCTGTGTCTTCACGGTGTTAATCCAGAGTAGGGTTACTCTGCTTTGGACGTGTGTGCATGTGTGCTTATGTTCTATATCCAAGGAAGATGGACAGATGTTCGTAGGTAGGTAGATAGATAGTAGGTGAACTAATGTTTTTCAGTCTGTTCATCCTTCGTCCCTCCTCCCAGAAAGACAGACTGCAGTCCCTCCCCCTACTTTTTGATTGACATTTACTCCCACTAGCCTAGTGCCTAGCTAAACCCCAGACTCAGTACCCCCACCTTTACCACAGCAGCCAGCCACAGCAAACAGCGTGCGACAGGGGAGCGGAGTCAATACTGTTTTATCATGAATATCTACTATTGAGTCTGTGTTTGGTCGCTCTGTCTGTGTGTTTGAGCTTCGTACGCTCACGGTTAATTTGTAGGCTGACACGTGCCTGACCTGACTGTCTCGCTGTTAATCAGTGTGTTTTTCAGATTCATGTGCACCAGGACGAGAGTATGCATGTATGTTTATTCATGTTGTGTGATTAGCAGAATGTGTTATTGGCAGTGCGTTGACCCCCTGAGCCGGGTCGGGCCGCGGCCTGCAGGGCTGATGGCTGGGATGTAATCCTCCTGTCACCCTCAGGGCACAGTGGGATGAGGGGGCTTGTGGTCCCCAGCCTCATATGTGAAGCTTATTAAGCCCACATCCCGACGCACACACACATTTCCCATCACGAGAAGAGTTTACGGGGATGTTGAACCTGTCAGCATGAACACTCCCTTTCAACTGGGGCAAAATGAAGAGAAGTATTATTTTTTTGTGGATTTAAAATGAGTTACATGTAGATTTAAAGTTAAGGATCATTTTGATTTTATGTCCCCTGGTGTAAATCGTTAACTTGTGTTAAGAGAGAAATTGTTTTGTGTAAATTAATATAAGTGGTTGTGTGCCTTGTCTCATCTGTGACCTGTGTGTTTTTGCTGTGAGGGCTAGATTTAACTCGCCCTTCTGTCTATCCATGTGTCTCCTCAAGTCAAGCATCCCAGTACCTTACATTTTACTCCTTGTCTGTCTCCCTCTGACATTTATCAGACATTATCCTCAATCTTACTGAGAAACCTCCTTCCTGTCTTCCCCCCTGCAGCAGCTGAGAGCTAACATAAGAGAGATGGAGAAGCTGTGCGCACGGGTCCGTGCTGAAGACGCCGCCGCTCTGGATGCGCTCGTCAAGCCGGTCAGAGACAGGGCGTCAGCCGCCGCACAAGACTTCCTGCTTTTGCACTCTAACCCCGTGCCTCAGCCTGTGCCGGCAACACCACCTGCCGCTCAGCCGTCCAGCTGTGTGTCCAGCAGTCTCCACGCAGATGACGATGTGTGCGAGGAGCCAGCGTTTGGCAGGCAAATGCAGCTCCAGCTTCCAGAAATCCCTGCTGATCAGAGTGCGGCTGAGTCCTGGGACAACCTGGAAGAGGTATGAGGGTGGGACCTTAACATACATGTCATACTCTATTTATACTTATCTTAAATTCAGAGTAATTTATTTTTTTGAAGTAAATCTGGTCTTGTTGCTCATTGCTTTTGTGTTATAGACCCTTTTTTCAAGGTGTACAGAATATTCTTGAGATGCAAGACAAGGTTTTAGTTAAAAAAGCTTTACTTCCTCTTGTAAAATATGAAATTAAACAAGGATCAGATCTTCAGGCCCAAATCTTGGCTCTTGTAACATAGCATTGTCCTCCATGTTTACTATATATTTGTCTTTCTTTGATTCTAAACAAAGGAGGGGAATTTATTATTTTAGCCTGGAGCTTTTAGCATCATTAAACTCCCTTTAACCGTTGTAAACAATAAAACTTTGCCCCGAAATGCTGCTACGATTTACCTCTTATAAATGGGTAGAGAAGGAAATCCAAAATAAACCGCATAGAATGAAATGTTTCTTGAATAACAGTTGAACTGTTATGAAAGTTATCTGCACAGAAAGTTTAGCAAAACCTCAAACAACAGGTCTTCTTCACAGCAGATATTTTGACTTGTCGTAGGAGGAAACGCACAGTTGTGTCATTAATAACATTAAAGAAATACTTCACCCACAACGTGGCCCTTTGCAAATCAATTAGTCATGACGTGTTACCTTGAATTCATGAAGACAACTTTGCTTTTTCCCCCATGTCTTTACAGAAAACAGTAAATATCCTGATTGATTGATTGATTGATTGATTAATTGGGGACCACATTGTTTGCAAACTCTCACACAACTTGTCTAGTATAATCTAAGAACTGAGCATACAACTGGATAAATGAGACATGTTTGTAAACTTTATATAGTTTTGCTGTTATTAAAAGTGCTGCCCGATCAATCAGTAAATCAGTATGTTTACTGTTTTCCGTGGAGGCATGTAAGAAAAGCTGTTGTTGTATGACTAACTGATTTACAAATGGTCATTTTGGGGGTGAAGTATCCCTTTCACATTAGCTTTGCTCTATTTAAGTATCCCTGTGATCTGTGACAGTGAGCCAGCAGGAGCAGTATCAGGACCCGGAAACCAAAGCAGCTAAATGGAACCCAGCCATCATTAATTTCATTATTTAAACCTGTGCCTTTCCTGCTGGGACATCAAACTGTTTTCCGTAAAAAGGCCTACATTGAATTACAATCAAAGCATTAAACGCAAAGTACAAGAAAGTAGTTTCGTGCCTTGGGCTGTGCTAAACGTTGCTATGGTTACATGCATTATTCATCGCTATTGCGAGATCATCTAATGCAATTGACCCCTCTTGCCTGTTCCTACGGACGCCCTTATTTCATGCGGCTCTACTGTGATGCATACAATACAAATTAATATGCGCTGTCATTAGTTAATGTGATTGTCAGTCTCAGGCACCGACAGATTGGAGGAACTATAGCTGGAGATTTGTGTGAAAAGCGTCAAAATTAAATAATTTTTTTGTCTCTCAGGATCTGAAGGAACTGAGCGGTTTGGTGACGGAGTTCTCTCTGCTCGTCCATGTGAGTATGATCAACTCAACTCTGCTGTGTACTTCCTGGCTGCTACATTCACATTTCTCTGTCCACATGTGTGCACGGCTACCCCCGTGAACGAAAACAATGTGACAGAGGCAGTTTGCCTATAGCGTTTCCAGGAAGTGGTGCGTATTTGACGGCGTGTGCTCGTGTTGCCTGGTAAGGCTCCTCTGAGAGGAGGTTACACAGATCGGCTCAGGACTACTGCCAGGGGCCCCAGAGGCCCTTCACCAAGGCAGGAGGAGAGACTGAGGAATAGACAAGGGCGAGAGAGAGGATTTGGGAGAGGACGGCGGGTTGTCCACAGGGGGAGTGGCGGGGAACAATGGATACATCGGAGCAGGTGGAGAACAGACGGCTCAGATTATCACTCTATCCTCAGGGATGGAGGGAGAGAAGCAGGGAGGCCGGGTGAAGAAGTCATTAACGGTGCAAAAGAAAGAGAGAGTGAAGATGTAGTTATGGTAAAAAATAAAACAAAAAAAAAAAAACAGAGTCATGAGGTGGGGGCCAGAAAGAGCATAGACATGTTGTTGTGGTGTCTCAAGGGTGACAGACGCTGTTAAGGGAGTAATATTCCAGCGCTCAGCCACAGTGGAAATACTGAGTGTGAGTGTGTGGTTGTTTCTGTGTCTGTACATGCGTCATGTTAGCGGCTGTTCCGGTGTCTGTGTTCTTATCTGTTTGTTTTTGACTTAATGTGTCTTCTAGAGCCGCGCGATCAGAAGCCTGTGATGTGATGGTGCTGTATTAAACTGACAAATACAGTCTTTAAATGATGGAATGATTTATCAAGTATTTCCTATGTTATTTATTTACTCTGGAAAATGTCAACAAGTAACCAGACTCTGATGTGTTTAATATCTTACAATTGCTTTTTCAGTTTGATTAGAAGCTTGTACACAGTTTAAGTTTTCAGTTTATTTGAATGAATTTATTTCATTTCACCATACGTTCAAAATAGAGGATATTATATCATAATATAAAGCAAAAACAATGAAGCAAAATATCTTTTTATTTTTAGAAATTTTTACCCAAAAATGACTGTATTGTTTACCAAAACTGAAATATGCACAATTTAATTAATATTTTAGCTTTGAGCACTAGCTTTCACCATTGATAACTACTGAATTTGATCGTTTGGGCAAATGTCACGAGATCATGAGGTAAAATTAAATTAGAAAAAAATGTCCATTTAATTGAGCTTTCAATCCAACCACACAGTTTCCTCAGCAGTTAGAGTTTGGTATTGGAGACGTGTATGAATTATCATAGTCTCAGATTGAGACAGTTTGGACAGCCAGTGTTTCGCTTTCACTTTAATAAGTTTACTAAATTTCCATTGAAACTCGTACACACTCTAAATGTGTGACAGCATTATGGGTAAATATTAAACTCATCATTTAGAGCTGATCATTTATTCCATTAGTTAATTAACCGAAAATGAAACAGCAACTGAATCATCTTTTTTTGTCATTTTTCTCTCTTTTTTAATTTATTATCTGCAAAGTTTTAGAGTTGCTGTGAAACTGCGCCAACTTAGGGCAACAAAATAGTTTACCTTTGGCGTGTTGCTACAATGGACAACCAAGAAAGAACGGCAAAGGAGATACCTGCACACCACTACAGTTGTTTTCAATTGTCCCAGTCATTTTTCAAGCAAAAATGTCAAATATTTGCTGGTTGACGTCTTCAAATTACTCCTTTTATCCACCCAACACTCCACAACCCAACGACCTCTTAATTTATTGTCATAAATGACAAAGAAAAGCAGCAAATTCTCACTTTTAAAAGGCAAATATTTGACATTTTTACTTGAAAAATAACTGAAACCATTCATCGACAATCAAAATAATTGTCGATTAAATTTTCTTTTGATCGACTAATTGATTAAGTGACTAATAGTTGCATAACTCTAGCTCTGAATATGTACAGATAATTTTTTAATTGTTTTTGAACTACCTTAACGAAACATTAGAACAGCAGGCGTCACAACTTCAGACACAAAACAAAAAGAAAAAAACAACAAACCCACACACCTTGGTTGACATAATTACATTTAAATGACCAGGATGTGCTGCGGTCAGTTATATTATTAATTAGGTAGAATAAAGTCATGTCCAGAGGAGTCCACCATGAAAATAAGTGTTAGTTGCAGTATTAACATGTTGGGGAATCTGTAAAGACGATGTGATCTGGGAATCTGAGCGGCGCGTGGTCGTCTTCAGTCACAACAGGTTTAAAATCTTTGAAACCAAAATGACAGGAGGCTTTTATGTGGGTATGTGTAAGAGAAGTTTTACAACAGCCTCAGACCTGAATCTGTAGAATAACTTTTTGCTCAGAGCGAGGAGGTGAAAGACGGAGAAGTGGTGTTGAGGGAAGGTGAGGAAGAAGAAGAGGAGAAGAGAAAGTGGCTCTGGTTTGTTGTTTGGTCACTGTGTCCATCCAGCCCTCACATGGAGAGAGACAGCTGCCACTCTGAATATTTCATGAGAGCTACACAATGCCACACACACACACACACACACATACACACACACACTGTGACCCCACCCCCAATGAAATCTCCTTCGAATAAACCTGCAACCTCCACACACACTTATTACACACCCTTCCCTTGTTAACTTGTGCCGTGGAGCAGAATTTGGACAAAAACAAACTTAATACACGACAGGTGGTTTCTGTTCACATGTGTGTTTATGTAGGTGAATGTGCTCGCTTTAGTGTGTGCGTGTGTTAATATGTGTTTGTGTGTGTGTGTCTAACCCCTGTGCATCAGTCCCAGCAGGAGAAGATTGACAGCATAGAGGACAACGTCAACACAGCCGCTGCCAACGTGGAGGAGGGGACCAAGAGCCTGGGGAAGGTGTGTATGTGTGTGTGTGAGTGTGTGTGTGTGTAAGTGTGTGTGTCCTGGTGATCTGATGTGTGTGTAGTGTTTGGGAGATGGGGAGATCGATGGCACTTTGCCTCCCAGCCATTCCACAGCGTTTGTCCCTATTGATCCGTTCGAATACGGAGGAAAGCTGCAATTAAGGAAATAGAGAGAGGAGAGGGATAGAGAGGAGTGGAGGGGAGGAGGAGTGATAGAGAGGTAGGATGAGAGGGGTGACAAGAGAGGGTCTATGTGTGTGTGTGTGTGTGTGTGTGTGTGTGTGCGTAGCATTAAGGAGAGGTTTGAATGACTGTTTAATAGTTTTTCAGGAGCAGCATTTGGGCTTCCATTATCTATTCAATACACTCTTACACACTGAGTGTAACTCAGAAGGACGACTCAGTGCCCTTCACACATATTACGCACTTGAAATGTTGAACTTTTTGTCTGTAATACTCAGAATGAATCACCTGTTTTTGTTAATCTCCAACACACACACACGCACGCACCAGTACAAATAGTTTCCTACCAAGGATTGTGACATTTTCCAACTTTACTTTCAGCTTTCTGTGTGACCACTGAAAGGTCCAGTATGTAGGATTTAGGGGGGGGAATACTAGCAGAAAGGGATTATGATATATTAAGTATGTTTTCTTCAATGTGTAGTCGCCTGAAAATAAGACTTGTTGTGGTTTTGTTACCTTAGAATGAGCCGTTTATTTCTACATAGGCAGCGGGTCCTTGTCTACGGAGATCACCATGTTGCTCTGCCATGTTTCTACAGTAGCCCAGAAGGGACAACCCCAACACTGGCTCTGGATAGGGCCAGTTGCATTTTCGCCAGCCAGCATAGTTAGCACCCCCTCTACAACAATACGAACAACGTCGGAAAAACACAGATGTTTAAGGTGAAACTGCTTTATTTTGTGTTTTTAAAAAGCTGATTTTGTGGGTTTGAATAGACCTTGATTTCAGCGGATTTATTGACCAATGAAATCCATGTCATGCCTCCAGGTCATAGCTAGCTCGCTGCCAAAAAGGAAGAACATCTTATCAGTGTAGTTTCTCAACAACCACATATAGGACAGTATTGCTTCAGATCACCCAGCAGCTCGGATATAATATTGATCTGATGATTTAAGCTGGTGCAGACACTGAATAAACCAGTTTCACATTAGTGTTTCTGCGTCGCTGTTCGGCTCGTTGCGGACGAGCTAATGTGAGCTAATGCTGCTAATGTGTGTTTTTTCTGTAATAATTTAAGATCCAGACGTTCAGATAGTTTTTACAGTGAGCCAAATTATCTGCAGAGGTCTCTTCAAATCCAGCATGCTGCTGGCAGATTACTAACTAGATCACATAGATGCTCTCATATACCCCAACACTGAAATCCCTTCATTGGCTCCCTGTTGAGTTCAGGATCCAGTTCAAAATCCTCATTCTTACTTACAGATCAATACGCGATCAGGCTCCCTCTTAAATAGCTGAACTGCTTCCCCCGAATTCTTCAGCTCGCTCTCTTCAATCAAATACACTTCATTTGCTGTCTGTCCCTCGCAATCGCCTTAAGACACGTGTTGAGAGCGCGTTTGCGGCTGTAGCACCTAAATTTTGGAATGCTCTGCCTGCTCCCGCACGATCTGCTGACTCTGTGGTTTCTTTTAAAAGCTGACTAAAGACACACCTGTTAAGACAAGCATTTGGGTAACTTGTACACACCAGAGCTGTACTTTTTCAAATTTTGTGTATTGTTGTGTAGTGTGAATTCTATTTAAAAACATTTTACTTAATTACTTCCTCTCCAAACAAACAGACCTGGTGATTTAAACTGGTAAAAACACTGAATGAAGCAGTTTCATGTTAAAAAAATCAGTGTTTCTGACACTCTTGTGGCGTGTGTAAAATCACGAATAGCCAACCTAGAGCCAGTGCTTGGTTTGTCCATTCTAGGCTACTGTAGACCAACATGGCGAACTCCGTGGATGAGGACCCGCTCACTACGTAGATATAAACACAGCATTATAGGGTGACAAAAAACACGACAATTCAACTAAAAACAAACTTATTATACTGTCATCCATTTCTGCCAACATATTCCCCTAAATCTCACACTGGACCTTCCCCAGTTTGTACTTTAGTCCCATCATTTATAGAATAAATGCCGCATATAATGAAATATTCTTTTGAAATGCTTATTTTAAATTAAATTCACCCAACCGGCGACACAAACAAAGGTTGACCTCTCTGTAAGGTTGCTGGTAGATGCACTGGGCTGCACATTATACAGGGCAGTGGAGGGTGGTGAGAGATAAAGCAAATGAGAGGGATGTCAGATGTTTTAACGTGTTTGAAAGCTTGTAATCTGTCATCAGGTCAAACAGCGTTACACATACACACACACACACACACACACTCGCACACTCACATTTCCTCCACCCTCTACAACCTGTGCCCAGAGTCCTTTTAACTCGGCTCAGATGAAATTAAAATTCCCTCAACTGCCACAGGGGTGTGGACAAGCAATGCTAGCTTTTGAACTAGATTAATTTAATGGTGAAGTGTTAATCAAGTGTGTGTCCCTGCGTGTGTGTGTGTGTGTGTGTGTGCGTGTCATTAATTGTCATCAGCAAAGAGCACCTTCCACTCTGATGATAACAGCCGTAATAACACACAGGCCGCATCTCTCTGATTTCTCCTAAATGGAGATAATGAAAACTCTTTGATGCAGCTATGGAAGCGTTGATTTACATTTACACATGCAGGCTTGTTTGTGTCTTTTTCTTCTTCTTCCTCCTTCCGCGGGTCGATGTGTGATCATGAAAGGATAGACACGTCCAACTCTATCGCAGACTGTCTTGAAGCCACAAAGTAATAATGCCTCCAAAGGTGTGTGTATGTGTGTGTGTGTGTGTGTGTGTGAGGATGTTAAATTAAACTAGAACATGTCTCTTCGTCCTGTCTCTCTAGGCGGTGGGCTACAAGTTGGCGGTGTTGCCGGTTGCCGGGGCGCTGCTTGGCGGTGTAATAGCAGGTCCACTGGGCTTGCTGGCTGGCTTCAAAGCGGCAGGGGTGGCTGCTGCTCTGGGAGGGGGCGCTTTGGGGTTTGCGGGTGGCAACCTGGTCCAGAAACACCGCAAAGCCCGAGTGGATATCCAGATGAAACAACTGACAGCACCGCGTCCAGAAGCACCACCAGAGCCCGAGTCAAACAAGGACAAATGACCCAGCAGTTCTGGTTATTCCTCCGACCTCAGGTGCTGACTAATCACCGAGGTTTCACGGTTGACTGACCAGTCAGAAGCACAAACCAGGCCTGCAGGCGGTGTCACGTTGCCTTAAAGACACTCGAGACTTCACTGAGCTTTGCTGTTACCGAGCACTGTCGTAAAACAATTCTGTCATAACAGCTTTATTTAAGAGTCAGATACTTTGATGTTGGCATGTGAATGGATTGTCTGTGAGGATACTAATCTCATTTATACACACGACTACTGACATTTTATTCTGAACACAGCCAAGTAGTTATATACACTACATCTTTACGTGTCCAGTTGGCTCAGTGTGACTGCTTTGGCACCAAATAAATCAAGTCGTACACAACCGTTCTGTCAAATACTATCACGAATAAGAACACGGGCCTCATTCACAAACAATCTGTGCTTAAACTGTGCGTACAAACGTTTTATGCACAAAGCTGGGATTCATTCATATTTTCTTACCTGCATTTGCTGGTATTCCGCAAACAAATTTAGAGCTGCTTCAGACCATGCGTATGCCCAACTGATTAAGGCCCAGGTGTCATAGAAAACGTAGAATTCAAAGAAATGTTAGTGTCAGTGTTTTGTTGATGTAAATATGCTGCTTTTTATTTTATCTTCCGTTGGCTTTGGTGGCAGAAAGGAAGCTAGCTGCATTAACATGCCCACTGCCCACTCTCCTGGTGCTAACATTAGTTGACAGTGGTAAGGGGGGTTTGTGACTCTTTCCCCCAGGTAGCCTTGGTGAGCAGGTGGCTTCATTTTGAGCTGCCAAACCCCTTTAGCACTGTCAACTAAGTTAGCATCGTTAGCTGTATAGCCACTGCTAACGGCGCTAACAGTAGGTAACAAAGCTAAAGGCAGGGTTCCCACATATTTTTGTGGATGAAATTTCAAAACTTCTCCATGACTTTTAAAGGACATATCAGAGTCAAACATAATTCCTTCTAGCTGGACAGAAAATGGAGAAACGTGCGTGATGGTGAACAAAACACTGTCAGACATCGGGGGTCATTAGAGCTCTGTTAAATTGACGGCTACAGATGATAAATTTGCAGTTGTGTAGCACTATGTGATGGTTGTCTAAGCAATATTACTGTAACAATTTCATTACACGCAACAGTTTTATTACTTAACCAAAATTTTCAATGATACTCACTTTTCCAGGCCTGGAAAATGTGATTGTGAAATTCTGTGACTTTTCCAGGTTTTCAATGACCCCGGGAATACCATTAAAGGGTTTGTGGCTTAAAATTGAGCCGCTTACTCACCAGGGAGACTTGGGGGACGGCAGACGGTGGGCACCATGTTTCCACAGCAACGCTGTTGGGTTGGGATGGCGTTAACAAGGGTAATCGCCAAATAAGCCACCAGACCTGGATGTTGTGCAGCAAACTGATTGAAGAGTAGCAAAATTAACCTATAGATAACATGCATAACGGGTCACGTAGCCCAGTGGTTCCCAACTGGTAGGTCATGGTCCAAAAGTGGGACCATGAGTGACCCCGAGTGGACCCCGTTGGGAACCACTGGACTAGCCAGTTAGAGTCAACTGTTGTTTTCATTTTTATTGACTTGACGGCTCATTACACCAATTTCTAGTGCCATAAAATTGCACATATGTAAAGGGTACATAAAAAAAATCTGATTTACCTCCGAGCAGGTGTTAGGATATGCAGCCTTGCCAGATGATACTGCAGCCTGTGCCTTCAGGAGAGGGCACATCTTCAATAACATGTTTGAAGAGAGTGACGAATGGCTCATCAGCTGTTTCTGACTGCTAAGAATCAACTTCATCGCTTTCTCTGTGATCCACCTCAAGGCAAACAAATTTCCTATGTAAAGAAATGGGGGCGTGGCCATATGCTGATTGCAAATAGGGCACACGCCTGTCAATTTAGAGTGATTCTGATTCACTGATGCATGTGTCATGAATCTGATTGTAATTTTGCATACACTTATTTTGTGCGCAAAGTAAGAACATTTCCATGCACCTGAGTGAATGAGGCCTGTTGTTTCATAAGCTAGCATCTTTTTTCAGGTTATTCTTTCTCACCAGGGTTTCTGTTCAGCAGTGATCATGCCTCAGTGTTCCTTTATACAGAAAATGTCCAAATGTGAATGGCTGCACTACTGAGACTGCAATAAGAAAGATGATATTGAGAAAAGGTTTTTGCGCCCAACGTCACTGTGGTTTTACATTTAATGTAAATTAAAGTGGTTCTGCTTCAGTGTCTGTACAAGTTATACTGTGTATAGGTACTGAGTTGTTTCTGACAAGTGTGAGAGCAAAATTGCACATAAAGCGCCAAAGTGCCACATCACTTCAGGGACTGGAGTGGGAGAACCTGCCATGTATTGATGACACTGCTGCTGGTTTTCTGCCAAATAAAATGTTTGTTTTCAACGGTGATGTCAGTCATTGGATAAATATCACAGTAAATGACAGTGGTAGAGTTCACAGAGACGGACGTACAAAGCACCAGGCAACACAACATCCTGTAAAATGGTTTTTAATTTACTTTTTCATTTTTTAACTCTTCTTCCCCTCTGAGATGACTGGTTTAGAAATGGCATCACGCTCCCCCCTGTTGCTCTCCTGTATGTGGGCTGATATGTCACTATGCAGGCATCTTTTGGCCTCTATGGAAGGGCAGGACACACAGTACAACCTTAGCAATGGGTCCCCGTATTCATAATCTGGATTCATTCACACTCAGGGGATCTCAGGGATCTAGACTTGTACCAAAACCTCAAAGACATATAAAGAGACAAAACCAGTTTTAAGAGAACTTGTATAAAGTGGCAGACTGTAAATTTCCACCATTCATCACACGGGTTTTCCCCTCTTGTCTCTCGGCTTTTTTTAAAACACCGGGAAGGCCACCATCTTTTCTCCCCCAGCATGATGACACATTTGACAACAGGTAACAGCAAAAACAACAGCCATTTCATAAATTCCTAATCATTTTTAAAGTACATCGTTGCAAAAACATTTTTTTTCTCCTCTACTTGATCCCCAGGAACACAACTCAAGAAGTGTTATGGCAAATACTGTGCCTTTAAAAAGGTATCCAGCCCCCTTTTACTTTTAATGTTGTGCAGTAGTGGAGGTAATCAGCATTTTCGAGACTAAACAGAAACATTTCTTGGGTACAAAAATAACAGAACTCCTGATTGCATAAGTATTCATGTCCTTCAAGACAGTACTTAATAGAGGCACCTTTGGCAACAGTTACAGCCTTATGGTCTACTTCAAAAGGCCTGTAACAGCTTTACACATCTGGACACTAATTCTTTGAAATCCTGTGTAGATTTGGTTTCATGTTTGGGGTTGTCTTGCTGTGAAAAATACAACTTTAGTTGCTTTTACCAGGATTTCTCTGCACTTTGCTGCATCAATTCTACACTGACAAGCCGTCCAGGGCTCGCTGCAGAGAAGCCTCCACACAGCATGATGCTGCCACCACCAGGCTTCATGACAGGGATGGTGTGTTCTTTTTTTGGTATTGTGCAGTTTAAATGGATGGTTCAGATTTTCTGAAGTGGGGTTGTATGGGGTACTTATCCACAGAGTGTACATTACCTACAGTAGATGTCAGTTGGCACACCCCCAATCTGGAGAATCAAGCTGGAGTCCAACATATTTTGGCCACCTAAAATCATCAATCAGTTGAAGTGTGTGCTATATTTAGACTATTTTCAAAGCTTTACCTTTGAGTTAGACAGGGATTTCCAATGGGAAAACAAAGCCATTATATCGCTCTCTTATAGGCCAGACTCCATTGACAAAAACAGTGATTTAATGCTGCTAAACACAGGAGCTGCAAATCTACTGCTGGCTTAATCACGTAGTTTGTTTGTGTTATTGTGTGACTTTGGCATTTAAAAGAAGTGGTTCTGATTCACCGAAGTCACACAATAACACTAACTGACTGAAGCAGCAGTAGAACAGCAGCTCCTGTGTTCAGCGAGTTAAAATCATTGTTTTTTCAATGGAGTCTGATGGGGAAGTGACGCCGCTTATGGCTCCCCGATCAAAACGCGCTGCGTGATTGAAATGTAAAGCAGTGACTATTTTCTCAATACAGTGTACACAGCAGTACACTGCTTAGCTTCTGTGTCGGACTCCAGTCTGCTTCTCCAAACTGGAGGATGTGCCGACTGATCACTACCATAGGGAAACACCGACCCCATACAACCGCACTTCAAAACATCTGAACTATCCCTTTAAGGCTTCTACTAAATTTAGTATGATGGCCAAAAAAGGCACATTCACTTTCACGTTACAGTATTTTCTCTTGATTGTTGACAAAAATAAAATCCTAATTACATCCACTGCAATTCAGTGTTGTGAAACAGCGACACACAAAAAGGTCAGAGGGGGCAATACTTTTTATAAGCACTGTAAGAGACATCATAATCTATAACCATTTAGTACCAGGGAGAGAAGGGGTGCATCTCAATAGGCTGGAGTAGCTCCGTCTCTTTATCTTCTGTCTCAAGTCATGGTTTAAAGTATGTTAACCCTACAAAGCATTTCCAAAATACTTTTCTGTTCCTTCAGTGTGTGTGGAGAAGATATGGAGATAAAGCTACTTCAAGCAGGCATATTGTTATAAGTTGTGCTATACAAATGAATTAGACTAGAGTTGGTCATATTGAGATGCAGCCATGAGGTCAGTGAGACTAAACAAGTGTCTCCTATCAGGCTGAACTGGACTACCCACAGATAAGAACCGTACAACTGGAGTGAGGGAACTGTTCTGTTTTTTGTTTTTTTTTCTACAAAAAGCCGGGTGATGTAAAAGAAAGGCATAAAATAAAGAAAAATCTGCATTTAATTTAGACCAACAATGAGACTCCCATGTAGCACAAACGTATTTACAAGCTCCAAAAAATAAAAGTAAAAACACTTCTCTTGATGCCCCTAACCCCTGCCCACACACGATTTCTTCTTTACCCCCCTTCTTTTTGATCCAAAATAAAAACTGTACGTGAAAGAGTTATGAAAATATAGGTTATTCCAACATGGTTGTGTCGTGGACTGAACTCTCTTTTCCTCCTGTTCTTCTTTTTCTCCTTCTTCCTCTTCATTCTCCTCCTCCTCTCCATCTCTCTCTCTTCAGTAAGGGTGTTGGGTGTTGCTGTTCTGTCCCGCTGGCCTGTCCCAACCCTAACCCCCTCCCTGACCCTGGGGCGTGGCATTGAGTCACAGGATCACTGGAAGGTCGGTGAGGTCACAGCTCATCGCGGTCCCGTCTGAGGATGGTGTAGCGAGTCTCGCTGGGCGCCAGCTTCATGAACGAGCTCTCTGGAGGGCTGCTGGCCACTTCTCCTCCCGTCTCCTCCTGGGGGTGAAAGTCAGAACAAAGTTTTTACATGATGTAGCACAAACCGGCTTTCAGTGACTCTGTAGTGCGTGCTGACGCTGCTGTCGGACCTGTCCGGGCGTGCTGTCTGTGGGGTCGGGACCGTGGTGGAACTCTCGGTGTAGCTTTCCAGAGTGAAGGTCCAACACGAACTGTCTCAGCTTGCCAGGGACGCTGGAAGAAACACACAGAAACACACATTGGATATTTTAAAGAAAACTTTCTCAGCTCTTAAATCTCTAACTTTTTTCGGTAAGGCTTGTTCATACAAGTGTTTGTAGAAATAAGTTTGACTCAATAAAACGTTCTCATTTGCACTAACTTGTTATAACAGGATCGTATCAGCCTGACAGGTGCCAACTAGGTATGTGTTTGTTTGTGAGATCTAACCCCTCCAAACTGTTTCACAGGGCTCTGTTTAAGGCAAGTGTCATTCACAAAAATATCAACCAAATGTAAGGAGAAAAACGCCAGGTACTCCTCTCATTGTATAACTTTTAAAAAATACTCTGGCCTCAGAAAAAAACTTTGGGGGACGCGGCCCCTAAGGTTTTTTTTTGTGATAGTGCATGTGTTTGGGAAGTTCTGAGCATGACAGGATAAATGAGACTTGGATTACACTGCACGAGTTGTGTGAGAGTTTTTAAACGGATGTTTCGATACAGTTTTGCTGTTGTTAAATGAGGTCCCTGATCTATCATTAAATCTATATATCCTGTTTTATTTGTTTTTTTTTATCACACCAAAGCAGAAAGCACATTTTGCTGGAGGGGGCGCTGAATGTGGGAGACTGTGTGGGTTTCAGGAAGCCAATCACTCTCATGTATTCTGGGAATGTCCAGTTATTAGGCCTTTCTGGACAGAATTTCGTAAAGCATTAAAAATGATACTTAAAAGCGTTGTGACAAATATATGTTTGGTATTTTGATATCTGCTTGCAAGAAATCCTTGACAAGGCGCTGGCTGCTTCCTGAACCCCCACAATAGAAGAGTGGATATGGAAAGGATTACCTTTTCTCTTTGTCTTCAGAAAAATGTGTTCATTAAATCCTGGGCCAAATGGGCAAAATATGTATGAGTGGTTTTTGCTTTAGGCCCAGTAACTGTGTGTTTCACAAAGGCATTCCTACACAAAGTTCAGCAACAAAGACATGAGATATGAGTTGATATGAGACAAAACTGCTGGTGGCAGCGACAGAGGACATCAGTCCCTGCGGACGAGTCATGAAGCAGCATTAATCCATATCAACGCTGTCCTCTGAACTGTGCTTATTAACGACAGGTCATGAGCTGTTGTCATATCACAGACGCGGAGCGGGTCCCCAGTCTCTTCTAACCCTGTGTGTCAGAGCAGCATGTGGACACACGCACACATGCAAAGACACACACATGTATAGATATAACATACACTGCACTAATGTAATTACAAGCTGTGTGCCACATGCGGTGGTGATGTGATGTAATTAGGTTGTGGAGGGCTGGTCAGTCCTCAGGGCTTCTGTCTATCTGATCAGACTCTGATTGGGGACTGGGGGAGGCCGAGTGGTGGGGGGCAGAATAAATAAGATTAAATTAGATTAGACTGGATTAGTTTAGCACTTATTGCACGTGCCAAATCATGTCACATTAGCTCCGGTGTCCTGGCCCATTCATAAAGGACAGATTTTAGGAGGTGTGACATTTCTCTGTTGTTGAGTGCACTGTGGATTATAGTGTGTGTGTGTGTGTGTGTGTGTGTGTGTGTGTGTGTGTGTGTGTGCGTGTGCGTGTAATGAAATAAACTTTATTTAAGGAGATCTCGTTATGAACAATTTCACATACGGTATCAGAATCAGGCAATAATTGCTCAAAAATGTCTAAAGAACGCTGAATCTATCAGACTGATTTGACATGTGGGTGATTCATTTGTTAATTACAGCTGCGTTTGTGTTAAGTTTTCATTTATGTTTGGCTATTTCTTTTTGCTTGAAACAATTACCAGCCCCAGTTTTTTGAAAAAAATGTTTTGAAATGTTTACAGGGAGATACACACATGGTGGTAATATTCCATTTTAATTCAGAGTCTGATAGTATCCTAAATTTGTTACAGGTCTTGTAAACGGCATATTTAGTTAGGATGTTCTGAATTAGGCATTATTCTAAATGTAGTATTTTTTGGTTAAGACATGTGGGATCTGCCGGTATTATTCAGGCTTTTGGAGCATTCTTTAGACACGTATACAGCACATTTTGAATATGCATCTCAACTGGGGTTCTGCGACACACGGTCTCTTGCGTTTATTGTCAGCTCTGCCTTGCCAACAGTTGAGATGCCTATATTTCTGGTTGGAAAGCGAAACACACCTACTTTTAAACATTATGAAAGACTTGGATATTAACAGGTTTTTGTATAAGTGCAATGACAACCTTTTCAAGACTGTCGTTCCACTTCTTCATAACTGACATCATAAATTGATGACTTTTATTGTATTATTTTATTCGACACTTTGTCTGCCATTTTTAGTCACTTTATTCATCTTGATGTAGCAATTTTATTTTCATTTTAGCTTTTATTTAATTGATCATTATTTTTTATTTATTTTTCTCTTCTATCTTATTCTATTTAATGTCTTTTTGTCTTGTGCTGCTGTGCCACTTCAATTTCCCCTCTGGGGATCAATAAAGTATATCTTACCTTATCTTTAACGGTATGTTAGGGCATGTTAATTAGAGTACGCACAGCTGCATGTAATGGGGAACATTAGTGGAATATTCATTTTCATTAGTCATGTAAACAGCTTGGTAGAAATATAATCTTTTTTGGAATTAAGGTAAAAATAGGAATATTTTGTGCATGTTCATGTAGTCATTGAAGGACTACACTGCTGCACCAATTGGCAACCTATGAGGCTAAAAATGAAGCCAATGTGGAAGTGACAAAACTGTAGTTCCTCTAATGGCCACTTGAGGCTGGCTCCAGGAAGTGAGTCAATTCCCATGAGACACCCATGTTAAAATGTCCAACGTACAGCAGAAATAAACATGTTTACAGCCTGGTACCAAAAACAGTTTTGGTCTCTATAGCTAATTTCAGTAATTATAACAACTGTGCTGGGGTGAACTGTTTTTACAACTCACGTGTTTACATTTTACTAAGGCTTAAAGTTACACATATTTAAGGGTGGGGTCGCCTGAGTCACAGGCTGTCTGCAGGGCGTTACTACAGTCTATGAGTCAGATCCAACCCTTGCTCCTCCACAGCTCTACCCTCCTGTCCAAATATGGTCACTTCTGGCTCCAAAAAGCCAAGATGGCGAAGACTGAAATGCTGAACACAAGGCTCCAAAACAGCCCTCGTAAACTGATGGGTGATGTCACAGTAGCTATGTCCATTTTTTATACAGTCTATGTGCTGCACGCATGCTCACATATCGTCATGCACAACCACATTTTAAAGAGAAAGTGAAAGGCGGTACTCACCTGAGGTCTTTAAAGTCAGGAAAGACATACATGTGTCTGAATGAGTCTATAGCGATGACGGGGCAATCAGCAGGAGTTTTCTGGATATGGAGCAAAGGATGGCGGAACTTCTCGCAGTCCGCGTGCAGGAAGTTTATAGACCCTGAGGAGGAGACACCAGGGTCACGAACACTACTTCTGTACACAAGGCTGTTTGGCTCATGAGTAACTAATATTCACATGCTGCCAATACACACAAGCTCACCTTTCTCACTGATGAGCTGGCGAGCCACTTCATGTTGAAACTTCTCTAAGCTCTCTCCGTCTTCTTTAACGTGGAACAAGATGAGAAAAGGAATTCCTTCTTCAGTCAGCTCCTGAAAAACACAAACACACACACAAAGCGTCAAGGACAGATGGAGTGAGGGCCTTTCCGTGGCTCAGCAGATGGACTACCCACAGACTCCATTAATACCCTCCAGGCTGTTTGTTGTGTAAACATCTCTATGTACATCTACATATCCAGATTTAAACATCCATTTTATTAGACCAAAAAGCAACAGATCAAGCTGACAGTGCTCTATATGAAAAAGCAGCTAACGAACCTCTCCGTTTTCAAAGGTGATCTCCCTGACCAGAGGCACACACTTGTCCTGGGCCCAAGCATAGGTCAGGTCGAAGTTGGTGAGTGAGCCGAGGTAGATCATGTCAGGTACGCCCTCCCCGACAGGCTTGTAGATTATATTGTCTCCACTGAAGCGCTCGGCCTCAGATACGGAGCTGTAAGAGTAAAGCAGATAAGGGAAGTTAGAAGACAAACAGAAATTAAAGGATTAAAACTAAGCCTAAAATAAAAGGTGGTGTTGTGTCTCACCCAAAAGCAGCCAAGAATGTGCAGTCATCTCGAAGGATGTTGGAAACTTTTTCATATGTGTGGTAGTTGTCTGTGTCCCTGCTTTCAAAATAGCCTATGATGTGTCTCTTGCTCCTCTGCAAAATAAAAAAAAAGTGTTAAGAAAAGAAATGATACCGTTTTATTTTACAATGACTCTGTTGAAGTTTGTGATATTTTATAGACACGGTGTGTGTGCACGTGTTTGCACTCACATCCAGAGTGTTAATCTCCTCCATTGACTGTATCTCTTTCACAGGGTCGACCTGCTGCTGGCGGATAAAGTCAGCGATGGCCGCCACCGACCTCTGACCCCTGTACTCCCTCTTCATCATCATCCCATTGCGGAACAACTTCAATGTCGGATACTTGGTGATGCGGTACCGCTGGGCTATGTCCGCTGCACGGAGGCAGAGAAGAAGTTAAGTAAAGAAGGACAAATCAATTGATGAAGAGGGAGAGGCTGAGCGAAAAACACATGGGGATGGGTGGATGAGGAGCGGAGAAGTGACAGAGATGGCGGTTAAACCTCGGTCTGAAAACACTGCCTTCAGTCAGCTCTGAGCTCTGATCTCCCACATGAAAGCTGCCCCCCGCTAAGAGTAAATATTCTCTCTGCACACACTGAATGAGTGTGTGTGTGTGTGTGCATGTGGCAGGTGTCAATCTCCCTGCGGGGTGTCTCTAAGCCTCCCGTCTTCACAGGAAGCAGCAGTTTTGTCATTAGTCTTCAAACAGTTTGCAGGTCATCAATAATTCTCTTTAATTTGCTTTATCTCAAAAGGCTGAGGCTGGCGGTTTATGTGTCTGTGCTTTGGTGTCCTGGGCATCTATGTGTACATATGTGCATCAAATATAGTAAGAGGGAGTGTGTATGTGTGTGTATGTGTGTGTGTGTGTGTGCCTTTTTGGTGAAGTTTATAAATAAAATGACAGTGTTATGGTAGTTCAGGGAATTAGATCGTCATAAACAACTAACCCATATATTAATACTAATAATAATTTGGACAATTAACCCTTAAGGTAGGAAAAAATGAAAACCTTTTCCGCATTCAGTTTCAAATTATTAAGATCAGTTAAATTTTTTCACATCATTAACAAAATAAATAGTTTCGCTGTTGATCAAATAAATGAATGGTACTGGCTCTGGTAACTTGTGATGGGCATTTCTCATTATTTTACATATTACAGGTTAAACTCCTGCATCTGTATGTCGTTTGGCACTTTTCCTTACAATATTAAAGAATGCTAAAAACTAATAAAACAGTAGAGCTGCATAATTATGGCCATTATCAGAATTATTTTGATCAATATTGAGATTATAATTTAATCCCAATAAAAAATACTTTGTTGCAATTTTATATTTAAAAAAATGTAATAGAGCACTGCCTTCACTTTCACGTCGTGCTAATGTACAAATCTTTGCAAATGAGACTGGCCCTTTTTTAACAGTGCATTTCCCAGAAGCAAAGTATTAATTAAACTGTAACCAATATAAAGGTAAACGAAAAATAAAAATGCCATCACAGAATGCAACCAAAGGAAAACATTGTGTATGGGACACACAAATGGAATGTGATTAGTTATGTGATCTCAATCTGTGAGCTTGTGGGGTTTTTGTGAGCTGGATGGATACAGTGATGTACCATACAGCGTTGCTCTTATGGATGTCTGAGTTAGTGCTGTACAAGGACGGGGATCCAGTGAGGTAACGTTAGTGACGTTATTCTTCTTGGCTTTCATACATTCATTATACTGCAGGTTGTGGTGTTTCAAGGTGGTTAAACAACTTAAATGTGTTGGTTTGTGGCAGAGACACAAGTCTCAAGCACCTATTGCATATGATTGGCTCTTGATTAAAGGACTAGTTCAGATTTTTTAGAGTGGGGTTGTATGGGGTACTCATCCACAGACGGTGTATTATGTAGAGTAGGTGTAAGTCAGCACACCCCCAGATTTAAGTAACAACATATGTTTTAGCCACCTAAAAAAGTCTCACATGAAAAAAATCAGTTTAAATGTACGCTATATTAAGAATATTTTCACTGCTTTACCTTACTGTCAGACAGTGATATCCAACTGGAAAATGAGGTCCTTATATTGCTCTATTCACAGCCAGACAACCCTGATTTAATGTAAGTGAACAAAGGAGCTGCTGGTTGACCGCTGCCTCAAACAGTTGTTTTGGTTGTGTTATTGTGTGACTTTGGCATTTAAAGGGTTAGTTCAGATTTACCAAAGACACACAATAACACAAACAAAAATAGGTAGACCAGCAGTTCCCATTACTGTTTTTCTAAATGGAGAAAAATGGCTTTGACGAGAGCATAGATGGGGAACTGAGGCCTTTAACAGCTTCCCCATCAGAGCGGGCTGTCTGATGTAAAGGTAAAGCGGAGAAAAAAATCTCAATATAGCATACACTTAAACTGATATAAAACATTTTTCAAGTGGGACCTTTTTTAGGTGGCTAAAACACATTTTGTTCCTGAACTCCATCCACAGCAGTGCAATGCTTCTCCAAACTGGGAGCATGCCAACTGACATCTACTGTGTGTAATATATGGATATGTACCACATAGAACCAAACTTCAAAAAAATGCAAAGTATCCCTTTTAACGTCACTAGGGCTAAATCCGAAATACTTTCCAACAACAAATGATGACATGTTTCGAGGAACTAGCTCTTTACCTTCTGCTCTAGACATTTTTATTTTGCCTGTCTGCTCTCTTTCGTACATTACTTTTCTGCTTTGGACTACAGCCACAACACTCAGGGAGGTTTTTCACAAGCTGCCGCTGCAGGGTGCGCACACAGCTGCACAACAGCTCCCTAAAAGTGGAGGCTGGTATTACTTTAGGAAGCACTTGATTTGATTGGCAGCAGAGTCTTCTGTGAGCAGAGCACGCACTCTATATGTCAATATCCCATTCGATCATGTTCAGTAGTTGCAGGAAGTCAAAACCGTGAATGAAATTGATATCTGATTAATTGCGCAGCCCTTTAAAACAGTAATACTCACAGTGTTGGTCACAGTCGACACGGGCAAACACCACCTGCTTGGTTTCAGGGAACTCCTCCCTCACTATGTTAGATGCCTCCTCAAAAATTGGATGGAGCATCTGACTGAATCTGCACCTGTGAGAGGGTTAGGAGAAGTGGTGTGAGGCCAAATGAATTCCCATGATTTGTAAGTAAATTAAATAGATTTTTAGATCCATTGGACTACATTTCACAGTATTTGACAATGTTGACAAATGATTTTTGCCTCCAACAGCTCCATTACACATCCATTAATTAGACCAAATGAGATTAAAACAGACACACTGTGTAAAAATCCTTTAAAAATAAATCAACAAAATCTCTACTGTGGATGACGGCAATCTAATTATACTTATTGCACCATGTAGCATTCATAGGAAACGTCTGCATCATGAGCAAAACTAATTTAAACATCCTCAATATAATATATATACACAGAAGGAGAAACAACACACTTACCAGTCTGCATAAAAATTGACTAATGCCACCCCAGCATTATCTATAAGGAAACACACACACCAACAGGAAATAAATGTAAGCCTCTATACATTACTAAACACACTCGTAAATGTATATTTGCTTGTGAATTAATTACATTAATTAGGCTTATTAAAGCCCTCAGTTTTCTGTTACTGAAAGACAAAAAAACATGAAAGCACTTACAAAAAAACAAAAAAAACAAATTTATAACCAGTGACTCAAGGCCGTGTACATTTATCTATCACACTACCTATAGTGAGGTAAACACTCTCCCCTTCTGGTGAATCACCATGGGAACTTATTTCGGGAAAAATATGTATGGTTGTTAATGACGAGAGAAAAATAAGCTTTTGATCCTGTTTAAATTGTGCCAAAAAGTACATGTGTGATGTTTGTCGATTTAAAAGATAATTTTGCAAGTCAGGAAACTCGCAGTTTCTCTGTTGGAGTATAAGATTATAAAAATATGTCTTTAGAAAAACTACACAAGTCGCTTAAGTGACGTCATGACTTCCTCTCTCACTGAAGCTAGGTGCCTGTGTATTAAGTAAGGGGATATACTCACACAAGCAACAGATCTTGCTCGTTCTTTCCCTTCTGGGCTGCTTAAAAGACCAGGAGTCACTTGACACACTGGGTAAGATAATGTTACACTTGTGCTGGGAACACAGCTAAGTTACCGAGATAGCTAGCTAGCTGGTGTTGGTTACGTAAATCAAGCAAGATAAGAGATGTAGTTCACTGCGCGGTTTCACAGAAAAACTTAATGGTACTGCGACACACACATTGCACATTTCAAACAGGATGAAAAAATGATTTGTCGTTCCCTGTTGACTACTGTACATATTCTAAGGTCTCATGGGGGACACCGAAAAGGAAGGCACTCGGCCTCTCTCTTAGTAAAACGGATAAGCAAGTGACTTTAAAGAGGGTCAGATCTGCAACAATAAGGCAAATGATGTAAATAAAACTGAATACTGGATAAATTTGTGGGAGGAGTGGTGACAAATGCAGCAATGAGTTTAGCCGATATGAACAGACTGTATATGTTGGAAGGAATCCAGGGGGAAAAAAAACTTTTTTTGGGGCATTTTTTGCCTTTATTTGACAGGACAGTTAAGTGTGAAAGGGGGAGAGAGAGAGGGGATGACATGCAGCAAAGGGCCACAGGCTGGACTCGAACCCGGGCCGCTGCGGCAACAGCCTTGTACATGAGGTGTCTGCTCTACCACTAAGCCACCGATGCCCCGGAAAAAAAACTTTTAATGGTGCAATTCATTGGTGGATGTAACAAAGATGGAAATTTAATATGCGTGTCTTAAAGACAAGTGAGGCAAAATGGTAGACAACTTCTGTCTGAATATCTCCTTCCCAAGAGCTAGATGAGACAAAAATTCAACGATATAAGCTGTTTGCCCCTGTTTCCAGTCTTTATGCCAAGCTAAGCCAACCAGCTGTAGCTTCATATCGAATGAACAGACATAAGAGTTTTATTGATCTTCTCGTCCAGCTTTGAGCAAGAAAGTGAATAAGCGTATTTTCCAAAATGTCAAACTATTCCTTTAAGAGCCTTTGAAGTGTAAAGTGTGATGCCTTACTTAGGACGTCATCTATGTTAGCTGAATCCAGACTGGTGATTTCTGCTTGTCCGGGTGTAGAGAGGCCCATCACCTACAGGCACACACGGGAGGAGATAGATCAGCAATTAAAACACAAAACCACAGACAAGCTGGTTACGAAGACAACTATGTGGGGGAGCGGAGAAAAGACCCTGAAGACAGTTGACAGATAACATAAGACTTTATTATTCCCCAGGGGGGTAATCCTGAACTAAAAAGACAAAAGAGTGAACCAACAAGCCTGTCCGCATACTGCAAACCAGCATTTCCAGAGACTGACTCAACTGAACACCAACTCTCAGAGTGGTAATACTATGGTACTAACCTCATACTTTAGAAGCACACATGAAATGCAACAGAGTTGCTTCATGCAATGCTATCATTGTCGAACGCAGTGAACACTATATTCTTTTAAACTTTATATTTCTAGCTGCGTGCTATAATTATGTTTATAATGGAGAGGATGTGCAGAGCAGGCAAGGTGTGGTTTTAACCGGCAAATGTCTCTCTCTAAGTCCTCCAGTGGGACCCCCAGTATGCCCCAGGAAAAAAGAAGTATAATCTCTCCGGTGTTTCCTGGGTCTGCCCCAGTCAGTTGTTCTGGTTCTGGGCTAATACAGAAAACAATGTAATTAATGCTCTCATGATTTTCTGCATAACCTGTTTTTTCCTTGTATCCTGTTAAGTGTGGACTGTACTTCCATACATGTTCACATGGACACGATGGCATGTGTTACAAAACAGCACATATGCAAATATTTTAACATTCGAGTGCTCCTCTCATGATACTGACCAATTAGCTAAGGTTATATTGATAAACTAATAGAAAAAATGTATGGTTAGGACGCCCCTGAAAAGTTTTTATTTTTTCTCCTTATTACTTCTTGTTTGTCCAGAACCTGTTGAAGTATATGCATACCTCTCCCTCCTTTAATAAAGTATCCACACAGTATTTGGAACTTTGATATGCCGCCAAAAAGTCTCACAAAACATGCAACAGTGGAGCATCATCCATTTCTTACATCGTGTTGAGCTCACATACCTCCAACAGTGGCCAAACTACATCAGCTGTCAACTTTAAATAAATCGCCAGCACTGATTATGAACTCCACCTGTATGATTCAACTCATCACCACATCATAGAGAGTGAGACGCCCTGAGGCTTAATTGAGGCAGCGTGTACTGTATTTGCGCTCTTATTCTTTTAGTCACTCTACCTCTTGCTCAAATAATGTGGCCGTTACACAAAATGACGCTGCACATTCTTTTTACACACATCCTGTTTTTTTTTTGTCAGACATTTTCTCTGACATCTTATCTGTTAGAGAACATGAGCTAGATCGATGGTCAGTCTAATTCTAGCATTCTGTGGTAGGAAACTAATCTTGCAGCCATCTAGTTTTCTTTTGTGTATCTCCCTCTCTGGATCACTTAAAAGAATAAGGGTATAATTATGATGTGAACCAGCTGGGGAGTTCTGAATTCCAACTCTGATCACCAGAATCTTGTATGACAGAGATCGGCACGGAGAAAATTTAAAGGCTAAAATGACATTCAGTGGAGGGTGAAATGGGAGAAAGAACACTGATGTTGGAACGGTGCTGACTGCCAACTGTAAACACAGAGATGCCGATAAAAAAGGCAATTGTAGCCTGAATTAACTCTTTTTATTTAAGGGCCTGTGTTTAACAAAGTGGACATCACGACAGGAGACCAAAGAAAACTGCACTGTCAAAACTTTTACTGAACTATTTAACTGAGGCTGCAAGTGCAATCTGATAGCCTTTTGCATCATCATTATGACACACATTTCCCCTTTTAAACATAAGCCACTGTAGTCAACACTTCTATTACATCACAATATTTTAAAAGTATGCACGCACTCTCTCTATATCTGCTCTTATCTGTGCTGACTCAAGATCCTCTTCAAACAGGATATATGAAGGCCGCCTTCTTTGAGGCTGTGACAAATAGCAGTGTCAATATAGGTTCCAAGGAAGCCACATTTTTTCAACACAGTGAATTAACCAGGCTGTCCGCTGCCTCATGCTTTACAGGGGAATCACACATGTAAATTTAGTTTTGCTCACATGCAACCAGTAGTTAGAGTTTAATTGCCACTGTCCTTCCCTTGGTTTAGTGTTGTGTAAATGTTTCCTAGTGTAAAATTAAAACTGAAACTAACTATTATTTCTAATATGGATTAATCTGTCAATTATGCCTGTATTGAGTCATTAATAATCCAGTCTATTAAATGTCAAAATGATAAAAGAAAATGGCCATCACAACTTCTCAGAGACCAGGGTGACGTCTTGAAATGGCTTCTTTGTACTTACTTTTTTCTTTTTGCTCCTGAAACACTTTTTATGTTGTATAGTTTGAATATTTTGACTGATACTTAACACTCTATTGTTTTAAAAACTAGGCCCAGTGTGTGACCCTGACCTGGGGAACCCACTGGTTGTTTTTACTGGTTTGTGAACATTTGTGAACCTCAATTGCTGTTACTGTAATCTGAAGCATTCTCTGACTCAAGAATTTCCTTCATGATAAAGAAAGTCCTACTGAACTGAACTGAATTTCATCCAAGCAATAGTCCATAACATATTTAATATACAATTATATATGGGTAAGAAATCAATCCTCACATTTCAAAGGCAGGAGCCAATTCCTGTTTAGTTTCTAAACATGAAAAATGACTTTCTGACTATTGACTTATCCTTTAATAGTGTAATCATTTCAGCACTAAGCTACTGAATATTTCCTGGTTCCTCAACACTGAAAAAACTGTCACTGTGCCTGTCTATCATGTAAGATAACACAGCTGCATACTCATATGAAATACCACCGTTGCTGTGGTTAGACCGATGATAACACTTCTCTGTAACTCGGAAAGAAGTTTAAAGTTTTCATTTCAGGCCCAAACTCTCACAACAGCAGAGCAGCAGCGCTGTGGCTTGTTCCGGGTTGTCAGCCAATGAGAATGAGCCACAACAGAGGAATTCACCAACCGGCGAGCATCATTCAGAGACACATACAGACACACCAAGGGTCTGACAATAAAATCGTGCATCCATATAATAATATATATGAAGCTTGATCAAACACAGCAGAGAAACATATTCAATACACACAACGCTTAAACTAACCATGTTAGCAGTTAGCACTTATCCCACTACTGTCAGTAGGTGGTATCAGCTAATGCTAGCTCGAGGCTTCATCCCTCCTCAACAAAGTTAACAGGACTCCAACTTTGTGTCATTTTTTAAAAGTTTGGAATATACGGTGTGTTATGCAAGTAACACCTCGATTATATAAGAAGGATTATGGCTTGTTATAACCCTACAGCTAACGTTACTCAACACTACCGGCTAAGTTGACATTGCAGCTGGATAACTTGATTAGTTATAGGAGTCGGTTGGTGAAACCCGGTCAAAAGGCCTCCCCGGTGAACCTGATAAATAACTACACACCCAGGAGCGACTGAGCGGGCTCACTAGTCACCTTGGCTACTTTAAAAGCCACGTCTCATGCCAGCATCGGTTAGCTAGCAGCTAACTGTCCAGCGGCAGGCTAACTAACGTTACTACGCTAACGTTAGCTTGCTGTCGCAGCTAAAAAGCATATCCCCAAGCTAAGATATTTATCCTTACCAGCAGTAGAACCGTGACGAAGCGGGTATCGAGAGAGGGAGATATTGCTAACAGTTTCATTGTACAGTATAGTTATTGGAGGTGGTGGTGTTGAGTCTTCCCAGGTTGTCTCGACGCCGCTCTTCTTACTGCAGCAGGAAACCGACGGCGAACCAATCTCACTGTGACCACGGAAACGTCCTGCTACTCGCGTGGCTTTCTGGGTAGTGTAGTCTTCAACAACAACCAAGCGGCTGGCTCGAATGACTGAGGAAACTACAACTATGGCGGTTTATTGCTTTAACGGGAGTTGTAGTGTTTTGTCACCCAGACGGTGGCGATTCAACGGGACTACTTGGAAGAAAACTTTCTAAGATTTTCATCTGAGAGGAAAAGAAATCAAACGGTAATTATAACACCGACGAAGGACGAGTGGAAAGGACGCATTATTAAAAGTGTAATAGCATTAGTGTTATACGTAGTTTGCCCACTGTCACACATTTGTTCTCTGTGTTTCCTTAGTACGCTTATGAATAACTGATTTCTCCTGAGCAGGGGGGAGTTGCATCATTATGCTTCATTTTTTGCAATACTTTGTTCGACCTGTTTTCCACCATCCAGCAATGCGTTGTAAGCTGCTGAGCAAAAACTTGCTTTGTGGTACAAAAAAATGTGAGAAAACCTTGAGATGCCCTGCAAAATATCTGCAAATATTATCCATAAACCCAGCAAAATTGTATGTGTAGCTGCTGTTTAATCAAACACAGACTCCTCAACTGCAAACACACACTTAGACAGAGGTTTAATGCATCTCATCAGATTAGAAGAGACTGGTTAACCCAAATAATATGTCACTGAGGCATCCTCCCTCTGCCTGTAATCAGTACTGTAGCAGTGTTATGCTGGCAGTTATTTGTGTGAACAGGTGGGCTGGTCTCAGTAGGTGAGTGATCCTCTTTCTCTGCCCCCGCAGGAGCCGGGATCAGGGCAGGTAGGGGACCTGGACGTGCATCCACACCCACGAAGGATGCTCTGAACTGAGCAACATCTGCTGAAGAGTCCCCCCTCAACGCAGCTATGGTAAGAATCCAACACACAGAGAGCAGCAATCCAGATTTAATTTAGCCTTATAAATCCCACAAGAGTTTTATTTTCTGTAGTTATTGGGTCTATCTGTTGGTTACTTTGGTCTCTCTCCTGTACTACCAGCTTGTAATTCGCTCTCTGGAGTCAGCACCATTGAGACTTTGTGGGAACAAACCTAATTGTGTGTGCTGGAGCAGCCTAATTGTTAAGGAGATTAAGGTGGAATGCTGAATTGAATCCCAGCATTAATATTTGATGGGCTAAAGCTGTCCATAGGGGGTTCACAGTGTGTGAGCATCTCACAGATGGAGTCAGAGGAAGATTTTTCTCTCCTCCTGTCTGGATATCAGTGATTGAGAGAAAGAGTGGCAGAATGTCTTTCTTAGTGTTGTCATGATACTGAAGTTCCTAACTTCAATACAATACTTTAAAATATCAACATTCAGTACTATTTTTGATTAAAAAAAATGACTTTGCAAGCAGCATACATGTGAAAATGTTCTATTAAAAGTTAAATATAACAAGGCTATAACATGACAATGACTTCTCTTCTCTTGGTTAGTAGCAGGGAACAGCAGAATGACTGTAGTAAACATTAACAATAACAGAGCGTTAGAAAGTGCAGCTGGCAATGGTGTATTGATGCTGCGTTAAATGAGTATTGAAAATGTTTTATTATTCATAATTGATATGTATCGATATATTTGACAAAACCTCTTACTTATGTTGTTAATGCTGTAGAAAGTAATAAGCATCACAATATCTATAAATCTTCTTCAGTATTATGAAAATATGAAAATCACATGTTGAGTTATCTGTGTTAGTTGTATTATTCTGTATAGTCGTGCGAGTTTAAACTGGAACACATTTCTCTGGTGTAATCACTTTTATTCAAACATGCACACCACAATTAACAATTATAATGATAAATGATGGCTAATGTAAATATATGGGCCAGGCCTACACTACATGTTAACTCTACAAGTTAACTGATATTTTACTTGCAGGTGTTACAATCTACTTAAATGAATACCTCACCCACAAAATGACTGTGTATAAATTAGTCATGCTGTGTTACCTTAAATTTGTGAATTTATATTTTGTTTCTTCGCATGCCTCCACGGAAAACGGCGAACATATTGATTTATCATGCTCAGTTCTTCCCAACACATGCATTTTCTTTTTTTTTTAGATTATTTTTGTGGGCTTTTTGCCTTTAATGACAGGACAGTGAGTGAAATGGGGAGACAGAGAGAGGGGGGACTGACATGCAGCAAAGGGCCGTGAGCCGGATTCGAAGCCTCAGACGCTGCAGCGAGGCAATGCCTCTGTACATGAGGCAATGCTTCTGCACATGAGGCGCCGGCACTATCCACTACATCACCGACGCCTCAACACATGCATTTTCACCAAAATCTTACCATTTAAAAATGAACTGAGAGTGAAACTCATCTATGCTCTTTTCAAAGACAGATGCCAGTATTTAGGTTTCTAGCTAAAATGCATGTGTTTGGGAAGTACTGAGCACATGACTGGATAAATGAGACTTGGATCATACTGCACGAATTGTGTGAGAGTTTGTAAACTGTTTTAATACAGTTTTGCTATTGTTAAGCATGGTCCTCCATCAATAAATAAATAAATACATTTGCTGTTTTTTGGTGGAGGTATGCAAGAAGTACAAATACCCCTTTTCGACCGTCATGGGCTGGCTTGGCTTGGTTTGGTTTGGTTTGGGCCATTAACTCACCCCGGCAGGGATTTGCGTTTCCATTACAACAGGGCTTCCTGCTTTAAACCTTTTAAAGAAGAGACTTTTAAAAACGCCTTTCTCTCTGGTCTCCTGCAGCCAGAGGTGAGGAGAGTCACGCAACACACACGGCTTGTTTGATAAAGAGAATCGGGGTTGTCGGGGGTCGGCTGCGGTCAATGAGATGTCACCACTACCCACTTGAGGGCAGGTGGCCCAGCTTTTGGACCTACTCTGGAGAGGGTCCATCTCTAGCACAGCTCAGCGTGGCACGGCGCATGTTAACTGATAATGAAAACACAAATCAACGCGGCATGGCTTGACTTGGCACGGCCAAAAGTGACAGTGAAAAAGGACCAATAGTTTGCTTCATGAATTCAAGATTTCAGGACATGACTAACTGATTTACAAATGGTGATTTTGTGGGTGAAGTTCAGAGTTTGATGATCTAAAGATCTTAAGATGATCTCAAGAAAATCTGTGTTTTTCGAACACTGCTTCTAACTAAAACATGAATGGCCCTATCTAGAGCCAGTGTTTGCTTTGTCCGCTGTGGACAACTGTAGAAACATGGCAGTACAACATGGCGATCTCTATAGAGAAGGACCCACTCCCTATGTAAATATAAAGGGCTCATTCTAAGGAAACAAAAACACAACAGTTCTTATTTTCAGGTGATCATACACTAAAGAAAACATACATATTATATAATTTTCCATTTCTACTAATATATCCCCTTAAATCTTACACACTGGACCTTTGAGGAAGATCAACTTATCATATTTTACAATGAAAGAAATACAAGCTAATCTATATGGCCGAGAAGCCTTTACCAACAGCTGGTGCTTGTCTTGTCATAACTTTATTGATTAACAATAGCCATTTTTGTCTTTGAGGATTGACACATTAAGGCACCGCCTAATAATGTCTTCTGTCAGAGCTCCTGTCAAATCCGGCCTCTTGTTGCATGTCACAAGAAAATTTTAAACTTGAACTTCTTTAACGTCAGCGTGGTGTCATCAGCCACAAGGCAGATGAAGATACGTATGAGTACTGTAAAACTTCAATTAGTAGCCCAGGCTATTATTTGCTTAAATCACTGAAATCAACAGGTCTATATTACGGACAGGCTTTTAATTCCTTTCACACAAAACTGTTGCTCAGCAAAGATCAGGACATACAATCAAATTGTTTATTTAAACCAGTATGAATATTACGTGTTTAAAAATTAGGCTTTGGATAACACATCAAGCTCCAACAGAGCGTTATGGCACTCGAGAATTACAGCCCCCGGCATACCGCCACAACACCACTTTATCCTGTTAAAACAACACTCACAACTTGGATTCATTTTTATGAAAAACCCTTTTGAGTCTTTTGATCTGAGGACCCTTACACACTAAAGGAATATGAATAACTTACAGGGTAATTGAGGGACGGACACGTCATTTTAGGTAGCCAAAAACCTCGTTTTATACATCCGGAAAACTATATATATATAAAAAAAAGAACTGTTTGGTAACCAGAAAAGGCGTCTAATCGAGACAGGCCTTCATCTGTCAAAATGCGTAGCTACACCGGGCTAGTAAAAAGGACTGGGTGTTTAATTTGGACTAGTTTTACGGTATTTATTTTGCTCTGTAACCATACATGTATAGTTTCTGTACAGATGTAGTGCACAGTGTCCTATCGCACTACATGCAGCCCACACCCATACCTCTCTCCCTGCAATCTGATTTAATCTGTCCGTCCTCTGCCTATCTTGCCCTCTCCTCCCTTTTCTGTTTTCTCCATCTTTTTCCATTTCGCATTCTCCCATTGATTTTTTTGTTTGTTTTTCCAGCTGATTATGTCCCTGTACTCTGATTCGCCGGTGGGCACATTGCTCTCTGCGCTTTAATTGGACATTTAATTAGATCACAGTTTTAGTTCAATTAGACTCAGAGGTGTTGGGAAAAGGATATGGAGGGGAGAAGAGGAAAAAAGTCCCTGAGCTGGTCTCTGTCTCCCTCCTCTCCTCTCCACTCCTCATCTCACTCTTTTTCTTCATCTGTCTTTTTCTGTCCGCCTTGCTGTCTCTCTCTCCACCCCCTGAGCATCCTGAGCTCATTAGTGATATAATGGGATGACACAAAACACACAGCTCCCCTAACTCTCAGAGTGTCTCGACGAGCACCTGAATCACACACACACGCACACACACACACACACGTAAGGTGACAGGGACTATGTGAGCTCACTGTTG